GGGTAGGACTTAAGGTTTAGGGGGTTTGGGGTTTAGGAGTTAAGGGGGTTTAGGGGGTTTAGGGAGTTAAGGGAGTTTAAGGGGTTTAGGGTGTAGGGGCTTTAGGAAGTTTAGGGGGTTTTGGGGTTTAGGGTGTTTAGGGTTTAGGGCTTAAGGGTCTAGGGTCGCCATTATGCTGGCTTTCCCTACGGGGTATATGACTACAACTAGATAACGGCTATAAAGGCATGATACTGCTCCGCCCTATGAACCCATAGACAATCCCAGTTCCCATTGCATTGTTCAATGTCTTTCCTAATTTGATTGTCAACCTTTTACATGGGGGTTTCCAAAAGTACGTCCCCAAATCCGATTTTCAATATTGCAGGGACCTCCGCAAAAGGGTCCCCAATTCATGCAAGCCCTAAATCCCTTAGATCTCTAGCCACCCCTAGGAAGCCCCCATATGCCCGTTGAAGGGAAATCCTCAAATCCTAAACCCCAAGACCCTGAACCACTAAACCCTACATCCTAAACCCTAAACCCTAAATCCTAATCCCTGAACCCTAAATCCTAATCCCTAAACCCTAAATCGTAATCCCTAAACCCCAAATCCTAAACCCGAATCCCTAACCCTAACTCCCTAACCCCTTTTCACCTGCGTCTGGGTCTTCATCGAAGCAATGTCGGCAGTCTTCGGATCGATCTGAGCCTTCAGCTCACGGATCTTGTAATCCAAGACCTCGGTTTAGGGTTTAGGGATGAGGGTTTAGGGCTTAGGGATTTTTAGGGTTTAGGGCTTTGGGATTTTTAGGGTTTGAGGGCTTGGGGATTTTTAGGGTTTAGGGGCTACGGTTTAGGGATTCGTTAGGGTTTAAGGATTTGGGTTAAATTTAGAAGTTTTGGGCGCAGTTATATGGGGTCTGGGTTTGGGTTGAAGGTTTATGGTTCCAACACTTCTCGGGCTTGAGGTTGAAAGTTTAGGGGCTATACGCTTAGGATTCAAGAGCAAGGACGGAGGCATACCGGCTATGAATTCTTGGTGGAGAGGAGTACCACATTACCAAAGCCCTAACTGGCCATTCTAAATTGATTTCGGAAGCTCAAACCAAGCCAAGTTGGAATTCTATTGCATGTAAGCGACCATATGAGGTGATTTCGGGTAAGGTAGTTATGGCTTGCCCAGCGAAACCCTAAACCCATCTTTGGGCCCCGCGAAGATCTGAGTTCAACAGCCACGGATTAATCCTACGGACTCCCTAAAACCCTAAACTGTAATCCCTGAACCCTTATCCCCAGACCTTAAACCCTAAACCCCAAACCAGTAGTCGTCAGGTAGAACACTCCTCCCTTCGCTGACTTGTAACAAGGCCATATACCATACAGGGCTTATACAAGGATCATATTCCCTTAATCGCTAATACAAGCTAGTAAGTTTCCACCCATGATGTACCCTAGTCAAACCCCCTACACACCCAATTCAAGGCCCAGAATGCGGACCCAGGAAACAGCAAGGGGACAATAGTCAGTGTCAGGACTTTTGACGTAACACCTCCCCCGCCCCCCATGACCCTAAGCAAGAAATGCTGTACCCATGATATATTGGTACTATGTTCTGAATATGGGAGTTTCCCAAAATCAGGGTGTACCTTTTTGGGGGTCCCAAGAATAAGGAGTATAATCTCATGGGGTCTATATTGGGCTCCCCCTATTTAGGGAAACTACCATATGAGCCATAGTCTAAACTCCTAGTATCCCCCTTAATATTACCTATAGTATTCCCCTATATAATCCCCTATACAACCCCCTGTCAGGAGTTTAGACTATAGTACATATCTGTTCTTAGGATGGTGGGGAGGTTTCTCATGGGAGGGGGCGGGTTGCATCCAACTCGATCTAAGCTCACCGAACGTAAAGCTTCACTTGGTTAAGGGTTGAGGATTTAGGGTTAAGGGGTTTAGGACTTAAGGTCCAGGTTTTTGGTTTGGGGCTTCGGTTTAAGGATCTAGGGTTGGGGTTTAGGGTTTAGAGAAAGGCGACGCTTAACACTACCTACCTGGACCCCAAAGTATGTAAACTGATGACCTTTTTGATATCCTTTCAGGTGTTTCAGGCTGATATTTTACTTACTTTTTGAGCTCTAGGCAAAGGCTTTGGGGACACGTCAAGTTGGGATATGGGTTTAGGGTTTAGGGGGTGAGTTAAGCATGGAGAGCTTAGGATGTATCAATGGTTCCTGGGTTGTACCCCTACAAGGTTTCCCCAGTATAGCCCTAATATGTCCCTTATATGAGCCCATGTAGCCCCTAGAGTCTCTTGAAAGGATCCCAAAACCCAGGGGTACAACCCTAGGGGTACAAGCCTGAAACCTTTGAATGTAGGTTTAGGGGGGGTAGGCTAGGTTGGGATGCAGACTATTTGGCTTGGAATAGCCGGGTGGGTTGCCTTAGGGCTTAGGGTTTCGGGCTGAACTTCGTAGGATCTCTGTGGGTTACTGTAATCTCAAAAGTTTTGGCCCTTGTTGCTTATGAATTTTGATGACAGCACCTAGTATATAGGTGTACCAAAATGAGACCCTGATTTTGGGAACTACCCGTAACTACCCATGTGCTGTTTCAGCGTCCTGGCCCCTGCTTGATGAGTGGCGGGGATTGTTGAACGTATGGAGTGTACATGATTTTGACATGCGCTAAAGGTGTCCCGAAAGGGGGGTAAGAATGGATACTGCAGCCCAAGACCCATGTCAATGTAAGGCTTTTCCAAAAGACGGCTCCTCATTGTCTGTGCTCAAAAACGGGATCGCTAATTTTTGGAAACGGTCATGTGCACGGAGCACAGGGTGGGTCTCGACTCTTTGTAGTCAAAAGTCAGAAGCCTGAACTGATCCTAAACAGCGTAAACCCTAAAACCCTCAACATCCGCGGCTGAGGGACAAAGCGAAACTTCTCGAGCTCCTGATTCCTCGGTGTCACTGGGATACTACCCCGCCGGGCTTTGGAGGATTTAGGGTTTAGGGGGTTTAAGGTTTTTGTAGCAAAGCGCAGAGTCGTACAATCCTTATTGTCCAACAGCCACGGATTTGGGTGCAGTATCCAAGGTATCACTGAATCGTTCAGGCTTTGGGCTGTGGGGAGCTTGAAGGCTTAGAAGTAGCATGAAGCAATCCCCACGACACCCTAAACCCTAAACTTTAAACCCTTCACCAGGGCTCTATATGGAGGTTTTATTTATGGTATTGTCGGGATTCCTTTCCCCCTAGTCTCTTTTGAGAGAAAGTCCTGGTGGAGAATCTCTTCAGTCCGGCACGCCAAAGCCACTCTTTGGAGATACTGCTTAGGGTGTACGGTTTAGGGAGCTTCTCAGAATAGGGCCCTCCGGGACGGACCTTAGGGGTATGTAGAAATTGAAGGACTGCAGTTCCGGAAGTCCTTATGAAGCAATCCTTCATAAGCCCTAAGGGTCCATGTAACGAATAATTTGGTACTTGGGGCTTTGGTATTCGTAATTGTAGTACAGGTTTTGGGGAAGTATATGATCCTTGGATACTTGGACCCCAAGGGAAGGATTGTACAAAGGTCATTTGGAAAACCTTCCATATCTTCACAGCCTGCCTAGTTTATGAGCACTCGCGACAGCAGAGCTCGCACGTAGGACAAGGACGAAACAAACGCGAACTACAACCCTAAACCCAAAACCCAGCGGAATCCAGGTGGCGAGCGAAACAACACGAATCATGCTAATATGCATCTACATTGGTTTCAGGCCTGTGTTAGAGGGGATACATTCTGAGCACCATTGCAAAGAACTACAAACCCTAAAGCCTGAACCCTGAAGCCTTAACAAACTGGGTCTGTGTGACGGACCTCTGATAGTAATTACGTTACTCACACCTGAGTCACAAGAAACCTACAATGTTCTTTTCAAACCCCGAATCCCTACCTGAAGGAGATTATTTCAAGGCTGCAAAGGAAACAGACCCAAAGGATCCTAAGTACCTGTAAAGGGAATACTGACCTACACCATATTATTCATTCCTAGTACAGAACTCCTAACTTAGGATACTTTGGCTGAACGTAGTTGGCGTCCACGGCCAAAAACAGTCCAAGAGCGAGATTCCCATTGACGGTGCAGTTTAAAATGCAGTTTCCGCCGGCTGTAAGCTTTACATGACCTATAATGTAAACTCCCAGTAGCCCCCTTAATGACCCCTATAATGCTCCCTGTACAATACCCTATATAGCCACCATTGTAAGGAGTTTAAACTCTAAACCCGAAACAGTAGTTTCATTTCCTTTTCCATTTTCCCTATATACCCCCTATATAATCCCCTATACAGCCCCTTGAAGAAGTTGAGACTATGGCTCAAATGATGCTCGGAGCATCAGAAGATAACCCCGGAGCATGAAACCCCTGCCGCACCCAGACGAGGTGCATGTAAGTGGGTTGTTCTCAAAATTATGGACCCTTTGCGGTCACTATATAAAGTGTAGGGATTAGGGTTTAGGGTTTGGGTTGTTCTCAAAAAGTATGGGCCCCTCTTGGGTATCAATTTCATTACGGCACCTAGCATTTAGGGTACTTATACCAAAATAGGACCCTAACATCGGGAACCCTAAACCCTAAGCCCTCAATAGTAGTTTCCATGTTCTTTTCCATTCTCCCTTTATGACCCCGATATAACTCTATCTATCCCTAATTTTGGGAACTTTCCAAATGCCAATCCATTTTGAAACCCAAACTTCCACTGCCCTTCCAAGCCCCCTACAGGAACCAAAAGACTGGAACCTTCCAATAATCCAATACTTGTGTGGTGTCCCAACGTAGTAGTAATGAGTAATGGGGTCTTTTGGTTTTGGGTGGAACGGATCCATTTTTTGGATTCTTCAGGGGACCTGGGTTGTCGTGCTGGTACCTGCACCCTCCCCACATATCTCACTGGCAAATTCTCCATAAAACAAGGGGCTGAAGCCCTAAGCCCCAAAACTCTAAGCTGTAAACCCGTGCAGCTTCAGCTGAGCAACTGCTTCTTGAGATCGAAGATGCGCTGTTCCTGTCCAGCGGACAGCAGACAGTCCACGCGAAAACTTTGATTGTGTTGATTCAGAACTGTCGTCTTGTGGTTAAGATATCTAGTGATTTCCATGAAGATCTTGGGCATAGACCCTTATCAAAATAGAATCGCCATTCTAGGTACTTCCATTTCATGTTCCATTTGGGCTGTGGTCTAAACTAAACTCCTCAAAGGGGGTTGAATAGGGGATTCTCTAGGGGACAACTATAAGGTTAGTCTATAGCGCGTTGATTGTTGCATCTTGCTCCTGGAAGCCGCAGACGCGCTCCCTCAAAGCAACGAAAAACCTGCAACCCCCAAACTTGAAACCACACCTCTAACCCCAATCACCTACGGCTTAGTGATAATTACCACGAACCCACTATAGCTAGAGTCCATGAAGCTGTAGGGAAATGCTATTACAGGTAAAGCCTCTTGCGCGCCTTGTCGTGGATGGTCTTATCTCGCTCCTTGATTTCTTTTTCGTTGGAGTCCTTGTCCTGGCGGGTTGATGTGGAATCAGGGCTTGGGGAATTGCAGCTGTCAACCAGCAAAGCAAGGCAATAAGGTCGAGCATATCTGCTGAACTTTGGCCATATAATAGTAGTTTCTATTTTCTTTTTCATTATCCCTAAATAACCCCAACATATAATGATAGCTTCCATTTTCTTTTTCATTATCCCTACATAACTCACTCCAGACTCCGCTCTTCTGAAGGTCTCCCACAAAGCGCCCATTGGATTTATGCCCTAACTCTCTAAACCTGTGGATGTATGTGAAACATGTTAGGAGGACCCCCCACCCTGTAATAGTGGTATAATAGGAATATAAGAGGACCCTACTATAATCCCTATTATCCTCCATAGTGACTATTACTGGGTGGGGGGTCCACCTAAGACACATGCATCATGCTGGCAGTTGCTCCCTCGATCATGTTTGGCTGAGCTGGCTTCAGTCCCCTGGCTCCTTTGGTCTCCGACACAAGGTGTCTACAATCACTTTGGCCAGAGAACTGTAGTATAATAGGGTATATATATATATATATTGGTGTATATATTGGGGTTATATTGGGATAGTGGAAAATGGAAACTACTAACTATAGCAACCTGTTTATGGTTTGGGCCAGGCACACTCTTCATCGTGGTCATAAAAACGAAGCAGAAAGGGTAGACATGTAGACTTCATAAGGCCCCGAGAGCTCTGCGAGACATGAAGGGCAGAATCCTCACTGCAAGAAACACAAGACTATGTGTAGCCATGCTGGATGCTGGTTCGATAACGGGTCTCTGAAGTCGAAACAGAAGGGATAACTTAATCCTCACAGTTACAGCCTCGCTGAATGCCAAAAATAATAGGACTTGACTATATGCTGATCGTCAGTGCCTCTATCGTGTTCCTGTGGATTGAAGTAGAACCTCCCCTGAACCCGAAACGAGATCCTAAGCCCATCTAATCCAACCCTAAACTAAACCCTAAACCCCAAACCTTTGACTCCCTGAACCCCAAAGTCCCATACCCCCAACCCCAAATCCTAAACCCCAAATCCTAAACTTAGGTCCTAAACCCCAAACCCTAAATTTGGGAGCCTTCATCAGGCCCAAGATCTTCTCCTCAGCCTTACGGCTCTCTTCTGCCTTCTTACGGACCTCCTCCTCTTTTTTCATCATGTCCGTGTTCCTGGGCTGGAAGAAGGGAACGGTTTAGTTTAGGGTTTAGGGTTTAGGGGTTTAGGGTTGAGGCTTGGGGCCGGCAAAATACACCTAAAAACCAAGACTACCTTCAAAAAAAAAGGCTGTGGACTAGCCCAGTAAAGATGGTACGACTCAGAGTACATATTAGGTCTTTGGTTGGATCACTCGGGTTTTGACGATGAAGCTAAGCCTGCTATTCGTCAAGCTTTGAAATCTGGTTAAGATGAGAGGTTGCCTGTTTCAAAGAAACATATCAGGTGTGTCGTTAGGACACGTATACCCCCAAATCCACCTAAGCCCTAAATCCTTAAACGTAAACCCTAAATCCTAAACGTGAAGCCCTAAACCCTAAATCCTA